GACAAAACTAAATTCGACACTGTCTTACTTCACTCAAACTGGAGCAGCTTACGACGAAAATACTGAAGCAAAATTCCAACAGACATGAACGTATTGATCTGTGGGCCAAAAGCATCAAACATTTCGGGAATTTCGGACGCCATTTCCCCGCGCTATATGCGCAAAAATCCACGCAGTATGTACGCGCGTGTGCCGCACATGATGGCGCAATTTGTTCTAAAAATAGAAAAATTGTCCCATATCATAGGGACAACCCCAATACTGGAAATAGCCCGCGCTTACGGTCACCGTCCCCGATTATGGTTCCTGTTAAGGCTTGAACACTTTAAGGCCATCGTCATCAATAACGTCCTCGAACATAGCGAGTTGATACTCGGGGCTTTCCCGCTCCAAACCAGAGCTTCCAGTTCTCGGGGATCTCGCTACTTAATTGACCTCAAATCTAAATGTTGCGGAGACAATGGTATCTGGTGGAATAACATTGAAAATTGTGATGCTTTAGGCGGCAAGGAACCAGAAGTTGTTTTCGTTCTTAGGTATTCGTAGACGGTAGACGTTGTCGAGGAATTTGAACTAATATTGGATGGCAGAGAGAACCTTAAACGAACGTCATCAATCAAGGCTTAATCCGGCTACTGTAACTCAAGAACGCGTATATTACATAACTGTATGTATAGCATAAATTACATAGCCGTTACAGAACATAAACGTGCATATAAAGAATGTTTGGCAAATTAGCATATTATAGTCTTAAATTAAGGTATGTCCGCCATTTTGAATTATCAAATCCAGCCGGTGTCAGAAACTCGTTTGTCCAGTTTGGCTATGACGTCAGTGCTTTCTCACTGGCTCACAGCCAAGCCTTTTGTTCTTTCACTTTATAAGTGCGACACCACCCTGATAGTTGGGCGGCCACTTAACTCCACCGCAATTGTAATATACACGTCTCTCTCAAAACAATACCTCCTCGATATATAATCAAGTCTTCTTCTTAAACCACCCCCCTAAATATTCCCCCAATATTCCCTCACAGCCTGCATTTCATTTATCCCCTACATATACCTACACAGCCTACAGCTCATTAATCCCCCACATGTACCTACACAGCCTACAGCTCATTACCCCCTCTACAGATACCTACACAGCCTACGTTTCAGTAATCCCCCACATATAACTGCACAGCCCACATCTCAATAATCTTCCACATATACCTACACAGCCCACATCTCATTAAATCTCCCACACATACCTACACAGCCTACACCTCATTAATCCCCCATGTATGTCTACACGAGAGATATTAAATTTTGAAAACAAAAATAAACTGAGTACGTAGAAAGTCGTTTCAGAAGCGCTAGCTCTGCCTTAGAAATCTATTTTGGCTTTGCTATAAGGCTAAGCTGTATTAAATCTTTACGGACTGAATTTTACTTTGACAAGTTTTGTGGTCGATATTTATTATTTTAAGCTGAATAGCGTGCCTCTTCCTGAGACGTCTGCACGTACACAAGGATAAGCACAAGCACAAGAGACCTTATTTTTCCGCAAAATTGGTAAGGCCGCGTTTAAAATATTCACCCTTTCCTCCATATTACAAAAAAAAAAAAAGATTTCTCCCTTTTCTCCCCAACTTAACAAAATTAGATCTATCTGATCAACAAAGAATCAGGAAATGCGGATTCAAATACCGACAAATGGTTTGCAATTTTTTCGTTTCTTTCGATAAAATAAACCTTTGCTAAATAAAATTCTGTCTTTTTGCCTTAAGCTAATACAACGCTTAGCCAGCTTTTATTACTATTGCTTCCAAAGAGGGCTAATCAATATCACTGAACGGACTTTAAGTTATTCAAGTTTGACGGAGGGAGCTTCTTCACGGGCAAGAAATGGGACTTACGGGCAAGAAGCTGTTCACATTTTACGTTGCTACTAAGCAAATCTCATGCTCCACNTCCACTCGAAAGTCTGAAGCTCGGCAGTAGCCCTCATAATATTTCCATGCAGTGGCGAATCCAGACCTTGAGCTAAAGCGGGTTGCTTGCCCTACCGGCTTTTCTTCCTTCTGCGATTTTGTTTTACTCAAAATAAGCACCCCGGGCCCCTCCCCTAGATCCGCCACTGGTATGCTCCTATTACGTGACATTGTCAATCATAATAAAATGCTGGAGTTACTAAATGTGTCGGAAACTAAGTTTTAACGTCTAGTCGAGGACCACCTTATTTAAAAAAAGAAAAAGGATATGAAGTTGGCTCACAACCATTTCGACAGATTTTTTTTTAAGCCGCTGTCAAAAGATTCATAAAATCGTGCTTATTACAATTCCATGACAAAATGTAGGGGTCCCCGGCTTTTTTTGAGTTATAATCCCTTAAGCGCTGTTTTTGCTGTTGCTATGGTAACCTTTTATAACCACCTCTTGTTCAACAATGACTAGGTGTTTGTGTGATACTAATTATTGTAACATCACCTTATAACTGATAGCCGTTGATTCGTCAAAATATAACTGCTCGCAACTACTGGACGTTCCCTCCCTCCCGTTTTTCCTCGGGGGGTGGGTACGGCTACACGTAGGCTAAAACTGTTGCCTCCTCACGGTCATTACACCATTATGCTGTTTATTCCGAGTTAAGATGTTCAATGTGACGTTTATATAAGAAAGCAGTTTACAAAAATTCACTTTTCTAGTCAGTCTAATCTATGCTAATGTCCAGTATGTCACTTTCACTTATCAAAATATGGGGCACCCAAGCCGAGCCCTGGGGGTGGGGTGGGTGCGGAGGAAATGCGGTATTTAATGGAAGGACAGCGCTAAATCGAATCATTGCTATGCAGTACTTAAACAAAGGACAGGAGCCCATCTCTAGGAGCGTGTAACTACCCCATGTGCCTGTCACGGCGTATCACAGACCGATCTATTTGTGGTTTGAATTTACCGCGAATTCAGACCCCCTGAGGAACCACAGTGACTAATCAAAAGCCTGGACTTCATTTTTAACTGACGTTATCATTTCACCGGAAGATTAAAAACAGAACGAAATAAAAAAAAAAAAAATGGAAAAAAAAAAAAGGAAAATTTCCTTGCCGATGCGCGCCCATGTAGACCGGAACTGACCTATTACGCGGGAAAAGAAGCCTAAAAATAGACCGGTCTGTAAAAATGCTGTGACAAAGGCTTAGTATTGGACTTGCCACACGTTGAACTTTGCTCAGTCCTTGGTATTTGAGCGACGAAGTCGCGAGTGAAACCAACAAACCAGGGAAGTATAACTGGAAAGGACTTTTAGAAAGTCTAACTTAGTATGGGAGTTGCATCGCCACTTTTAGTGATGGGCTCCTGATGGAGATTATATGTTTGCGAGCGTATCTACTTTAGAAAATATACACCGAAATGTATTTTGAGATGATTATTAATGCCGTATAGTTGTTGATTAACGACCAAAAAATCGCGTAAAAAGTGATCGTGTATGTTTACGCAACTGCGCGACATTATAGCGTGACATGACGTCAAACATTCAAATGACGTCAATTATAGCATTGCATATTCATTTTGGTTGAAGTCAAGCAACATGGAGGATCACGACGCAGAAGCTCTAAAACTTCAGGAATATTGGAAGCAGGTAATGGAGGAGTACACCTCTGATAGCTCAAAACTTCACGAATACCTGAAACAAAACATGGCAGATTTTCCAGCTGGAGACGGAGAGCTAAAAATGTTCAAGTTCAGGTACGGGATTAACTGGACCACTTTAAAATTCTGAACTATTGGGCAGTCACGGTTCAGTAGATTTTGTTGTTTGTTTCCTTCTCAAAGTAGGAAATTAACTTTACCCTTAGAAGCTGAAACCGTTAAGGTTCTGCCGTTTTCCGTTAACTTAGCAGAGCGGCGAACTTTTAAATTTCGTTTAAAATACTCGATCGTGACGGCGACATTGATCGTTTCGTGATGAATATGACATGACATGACAATGTGCGCTGCATCATATGTGATGTTAATACTTCTTGCAACAGTATTGAATTGATAATTTTTGACATGAAACTCGTTGCATTACTAAGTACCCCCTGCCAGAGCCAAACACCCTCTCCAACCAGCGGCCATAATGATTTTTTTTTCAAAAGTCGGAGATAATTGATGCAAGCCATCGTGAATAACCGGTCCCTCAGTTGCGTCCTTTGTTTGAGGTTGAGGACTTATGCACGTCCTCGGTCGTTGCGTGACAAAACCTAGGACGTATTTATACATCCTTGGTAGGGAAAGGGTACGGAATTCAATGAAGAATATTTACGATTTACCTCGGTTTTCGTCGGTGCGTTCTAAAAAATTCCACTGGTCACGCGTAGCATGAACGAGAATCTGATTCGCTGATTTAGAAACTACAGTGTAGAAGGTTTATATTTTTGTTGAAGTAGTGACAACCGTTGCTGATTTCTATCTAGTTGTGCAATAATTCTTAGCATTTGAGAACTTATTGGCAAATGATAATTTTCAGAGGTCGAAACTCATACTTGATCTTTTGAAATTGCGAACCTACAGAGTTTCTAATTAGCACTGAGACAAGACTCCCCCAACAGGACCTTGGCATATTTACCGACGTTCTGTGATATTGTTTACGTAGAGAGCAATACCCTGCGAGACAGAGATATTCTCTTCTCTTTCAACTCTGCTCGGTGAGAGACGAGAGGAAACCTAGCTCTGCTCGCAACCGTTCAAAATCCTATCGTGCACGCCCGAACTATATCAGCATGTCGCATGGTCGTGCTGTCTTGTGATACGTTTTTTCACGCAAATTATTAGTTATTTTGGGTTCAACATTGTCGGGATTTTGTTTTTTTAATTTCGTCTTTTAACCTTTTTTAGTTAGAGAAAGTACAAACATTTCGTTAAGTTCTACGAAGTACTGAGTGTCATGGTAAAAGACGAATTAAGGTGGTTCGAACGGAGTAACGATACTGTTCAACTTTAAGAGACTATCAATCCAACAGAAAATCGAACGTTACTGGTGTCATGAAGTTACAAATGACATACGTTTTACCAAGATGCGAATTACCATGGTAACAGTATGGCCTCATACATACGATGTTGCGATCTACGACTTGACATAGTTGCCTAAGCGACGGTAAAATTTAAATATAAAATTGTGGGAGGGTTTTGAGAAAATTGCAGGTGAAGTTTCAAGGAGTCAAACTACAGCAAAAACTTAGCTGTTTTAAAAAGATGTACGAAGGCGCGGCCCGAGTCAACTATCACATGTAGAAATCGACAGCGAGTAATCTAGTATAATCTACGAGTCGTTCGAAACTTTATCAAAATTCTCTTCACAGACACTTCGATTACGCAAACAAGCGGCCATCTTATAGTGGGTAGCGTAGCCAATGCGGCAGAGAACGGCATTCGTGATAAAATGCTGGTAGATTTTTACCAATACTGAAGAGACGCACGCACCATGGAAGCTATTTGTTAAATAACGCGCGCTCGGGTTGGTTAAACAGCGTGCTACATCAGGTCTGAAGGTGCTATGATCGAACAGTAGCAGTCAGAGATCGACCAGAAATATTTTCTGGATGGAAACAGCGTGAAACTTGTGAAAATCGTACTCCAATAACATAATGTCTCCGGGGCCACGTTTCCCTCGTGCCAGAGCCCCTACGGCTAAGAGGGACAAGCATTTCTGGGGAGAGAATGGAAAAGATCGAGGCGACTCTACAGGCAGGGTGGCTTACTTGAGCTATTATGATAAAATTAATTTTTTCGAGTCACCTACACTGTGCTACACAACGCTGTGTTCTTCATGATGTTGGGACTGGGTTGGGGCTGGCGGAGGGACCGTTGCTTGATGTCCCCAAACGACGTCCCATATTCCTATCACACAATAACTTTAGGAGATACTTACTTATATTTTCATTCTTGAATAACAAAGGGCTGGAACCTCAAATCCGACCTTTTTACTTCGAAAAAATGGCAAAGAGTTCGTGCTACGGCACAAGTCTCCAGTGCAGGTCTACATTGGTTATCACAAGGTACAGCGTATTTTTCTTGAATGATTGAGGGGCTCTTTTATATCGCCTGGGTGTTTTATATCACTTTACTGTCCATTTTAACGTCCTTAAAATGGTTATCAGCCATCTATTTGATTTAGCCATGATTCAGGTCTTTGTCGGTCACTAGAGCTGAATTTTCAAAGTTATAAGAGACAAGTTTGCGATGTCGAAGACTCTTGAGCAAGTCTGGGCTCGATTCCCGCCGCTCTCTTGAGTCCGTTTTTTTCTCTCGATCAGCGGCTGGTATCGTGCCAAGCGTAAGTCGTCACATTCTTTCTTGAGATGGTCGTTTTGTAGTCAGTTCTAAACATTTCTCGGTTTCACCTAGCACATGATACAATGGACTGTTAGCACTAAGTATGTTCTATATCACATTATTTGGCTTATGGTCAGTATGGAAGGCTGGAAATTCTCGGCAAACCGCGACTGCGCTTGGTTGAAGTTGCTTATTGTCAATTCCTAAGGGATGAAAATGAAGAGTGGGAACATGAGTTCCTAATTGCAGAACCTAATTTCTTATCAACGGTGTTAATTCAAAGGTCGACGTTGAGTACAAAATCATGTCTGCCCTGGGGGAAACTTCTTTTCCAGTGCCTAAAACGTATCTCTTCTGTGAGGACAAGACAATCATGGGCCAAGAATTTTACGTCATGGAGTATATCAAGGTATAACGTTGAAAGACTTATTGACATATAAATTTTGCTCCCTAGAAAGGTTTCTACTCGACTCATTAGAGTAATTCTTAGCTGTTTCATCCCGGGCTTGCACCATCTTTTTTGGCCCAAGGCACATTCGTTTACGGTTTATTAATTCAAAGATCTGAGTTAATATTTTGCAAAATTTTTCCGCAGAATAATGGTCATTTTTCTTCGTGAGCACGATAGAAAAAAATGGAGGCTGACCAAGCTATTCCACAAGTTGTCCATCAAAGTGTCAATCAACCAGATGCTCGTTGGATCCCTGCATGCAAAGATTTTTAATTTACTGTCATTCTCGTCCTGGCCTTTCGCCGGCCTCGTGGCCCAAATGAAACAAGGACTCTGAGCACTGCTACCTTTTTTTTTTCGTTTTTACAGTCAAACCAATTGAAGCGTACCACTCGATAGTGAATTAATGAATTGAATAGTGAACCCACTAGTTTGTTTTAAGAATGCAAAAATGATTTGATTTTTTTTTTATATTGACCCGTTAGCCATATTCCTCGCACGACTAGCGGGTTCAAATAATCAATTCATTATTGCGTTCTTGAAACAACTAGCAGGTTCAAAGTTCAAATAGTCAATTCATTGATGTAATCTTGAGAGGTACGCTTCACTTGAATGGAGAGGTAATTATTAATATACCTAGACTACGACTAGTCCCTATTTCGCTTTGCCCCTGGTCGTGCTTGGCACGAAAGAAAACCGGGAGAAAAAAATGGCCGCGCGAAATCCATGGAGCGAGGAGCGCGCGAAAGGAGGGACTACCGCCTAAGCCAGGGAGTTTGAATTATGCGTTGCTCTCACAANCTACCGACTGTGTTGTCTACGAGTAGACCCTCTTTCGCTTAGTCCGTCGTGCGTCACGCGAAAGAAATCCGCGAGAAAAAAATGGCCGCGCGAAATCCTGGGGACGAGGAGCGCGCGAGAGGAGGGGACTACCGCCTAAGCCACGGAGTTTCCTTTCGCGCGCTCCTCGCCCCCAGGATTTTGCGCGGGCATATGCTTTTTTTTTTCTCGCAGTTTTCGTTTGCGTCACGCACGACGGACTAAGCGAAAGAGGGACTACTTGTAGTCTAAATTATGCGTTGCTCTCACAACGCAAAAATATGATTGGCTTATGTTAGGAGCGTTGACAACGTGTTGTCAACATTCGAGATACGTGTGGCGTTTCGCAAGAATGTTTATCTCGCTTTCCGACCGTAGAAAGCTTTGGAACAGAAGCAAATTAAAAAAATCGAAGCGTTAGAATCGCGCTTCGCAAGCCTTGATGTTCTTGCGATTCTGCCGACAGGTTTTAGAAAGATTTTAATTTATCAAGTGTCTTGTTTGGCAAAGCTTTCCGCCTCGAACCCGACTGCAAGCGTGACAGTGATTTCGCCGCTCAACAGCATCGTCCAAGAAATAGAACAATTCAGTGAATATGAATTCACTGAGCTTGGCCTTGCTGGCGTCCATTTGAGAGATTGAACCGGACTTTTACTTGAAACCGGACATTTACCCGAAAAATTCCCGCTACTATCGGCAAACATTTCGCGGCAGTTGGATGATCTCCCACGTCAAATACATAACGGTAAATTCTCGGTTGAAACTCTGCATCTGAAATTTTCGCAGTAACTTTTAGATTTACGCCTACAGACGCAGCAAGAATCTTTACAAGCTGCCTCCTTTGCTGTCTTCTTCTTAAAACTTCTTTGGCAGTTTCGCGGAACGAACACTGAACGAAGATATACTTCTCACGGCCTGTTTTTGCCTCGCTACTTGAAGAGTAGAGTAGAGCAAGAGGACGTCAAGATGAGAAATCGTACATCGAAAAATCACTCGGCCGTGAAAGAACTCCCTGGGTTAGGCGGTAGTCCCTCCTTTCGCGCGCTCCTCGCCCCCAGGATTTCGCGCGGCATTTTTTCTCGCAGTTTTCATTCACGTCACGCACGACGGACTACGCGAAAGATGGACTACTCCGTCTACCGACTGAGTAAAAAATATCATCAACGGCAATTCTGAAAACCTTTGAATAAAGCTCTGCAAATGAATGAAGAAAGACCTGGGGTAGTAAGCTTCAGTATCTCTGCCATAATCTTTGATAAATTTCTTCACATCATCATTATTTACTATTTTTATTCAGTTTTGTAAGTATACTGTTTTATGTCACATTCAAATTCAACAACACACGTTATTCAGTAACATTCAAGCCGGGTTTCATTCAACTGACACAATTTTACAGGTGAAAGTGATGAGGTTCTTTAGAATTCCTTGCCAAGCGAACTTCGTGGACCGTTTTTCTATCGAATGAAATAAGAAAAAAAATGATTACTGATACTAAAAGGTATCACAACCTCGAAATTTGTAAGTGTATAACAGATAACAGAATATACTCCTGGGGTTCGTTGATAAGCAAAGTAAGTAAGTAAGCAGTAATCAATATCAATTAATATTAAGCTGCCTAATCACGGATTGGTGTATTAGGTTTCAGTTCGCGCGGCCTCTGGTCATTGTGTTGTGTTTTAGGATAAGACACTTTACTCTCACAATGCCTTACTCAATGTAGCCTCGACGGGAATGGACTCTCATGCAATGGTAAGGGGACGTAGAATTACTCCTAGCCGCTTCATGCTAAAGAAACAAGAATTACGCGACTGCGGTATGAGCCACTGGGCTCGAATGTGGACTTTTTAATTTATATCTTGGGAGTAAGTAAAGCAACATGATTTAAAGTACTAACCACAAGGCTTGTGATGCTATTTGGTTCTTCTTTACACGAACTCTCCGGACACCTACAGGTGACTGGGATTCCAACAAGAAGGCGAGCGGCTTCCTCTCTGGAAAGGTTTGCCTCTTGCTTCGCGCAAGACCCATCCGACTGATGAAGGAGAAGCACAGAGAAAATGCAACAAAAATGAATAAACAAAGGTCACAAAGAATTTGTTCATTGCATTTTTGCTTCGTAGAAACTCAAGAGTAATGGGTCAATTTTGTGAAACTGATAATTCGATAAACAACTGAACGTTTAATAAGTAACCGACTATTTTGCACGCGCAGTTAGTATTGTTAAATAGTTGACTAATTAAAAATTAGATTATTTGCTCTCGATTTCTATGAGGTAGCCTCATCAACAATCACCTCATAGAAATCTCAAGCTCATAATGTAATTGTTAATTGGAATGGAAATGGGATTTACAGAAGGGAAACCTCAAGACATGAAGTTCTTATTGTCGCCTGTAAACTGAAATAATTAATGAGCGAAAAAAAATGCTTTTTCTGCGTCATTCAGTAAGTTAAACAAGTTATGAGATATATTTCGGACATTTTATGAATGAAATTTCTTTAATTCCTTGGCAAGCACATGTAATTATTCCATAACTATAGCGACTTGGAATTAATAGAGTATTCACTTGATCAGATCGGATAAATGTATTGCATACCGCGTGAGTAAGCCTCCTGGACCAACACTGTGAAAGACTTGACCGTCTAGTGTGGAGACATGATTGTTTACTCTGTTGTGAAATAAAATCAACAGTCAACTGTAATTCATATAGAGCTCAGTTTTGTTAATTTCTTTAAATAAAGCTGCGATACTTAATGCTTTAAACCAGGCTAAAATTCAGACTAACATTCACATTACCCAGGTGCTCTGAATGGCAGTAAACTGTATCAGGAACTGCTTCCCCTTTCAGCCCGTAAGTGCTATAAGGCGGTTTTCAATTGAGTGTCGTAACACCAAAACCAAACCAACTACTTACCAATTAGACTACTCAGCCGATCTCAAAGCATAGTAAAACCAAAACCAAAACCAAAGTAATTGCCTGGCTACTTTCAACACTCAACTGAAAACCCGCTCTATCGCAATCCTGAGTCGGCAGTAAAAGCAAGACAATTGAGTCGTTCCTGCACATTTGTCCCTACGGCAGAAAGAGGATATACGGATGAGATAAAAAACCCACCCTTACACGAATAAAAATTTCATCAATTTGATTCACGTTATTTCCGTCTTTTCTTCTCTCTGCTGACTGAAGAATCATGGTGTCGAGAGCTACAACATTCTACGACTGAAATAGTTCTACTTTGCCTGCTTACCTTTGTTCGTCTGTATTTCCTTTTGCAGTATTTTCCTCGTTACTCCTTTGAAACCATTCGGATGATCGTCTCTGTCCCGGACTTTCTTGGTCCAATGGGTGTATTTGCCAAAGGCGCGGTTGCACAGGCCAAACATACAGTTCACGACCTACTCTGAAGTGACCGCTGACCATGCCGAATAGCATTGCGGTAGCAATACAAGCCAGGATGTAATGAAATTTCGCGGTATTTGCAGCCATGACTGCTGTTCTCTTGACTACAGTCAATAGAAGAAAATATCAATCCTTTACCAAAAGAAAGTTTTTGGCGATTTTTCTCTTTCTTTTTTTCATTAAATTTAAGGTTAATTGAAAACGTGAACCTTAAATCTTCACTGTTTTTTTCATTTAAATCAGGTCAGTTATTTATGTGCCTGTCCTCTCCAGGACCCGATTGATTTAATCCAGTAAGAGCACGAATTTTGTTATCAGTTTGATTACTTTTCAGTGCTTTTCTGTGTTCATTTTTTGTCTCTCAGGTTTGATGTCCAGCAATCACAAACTCTTAAAAGTAAGAATTGTTATCAGCTTGTTCCAAAGCCTCAGTTTCCGCTGACCACAATAATACCATCTGTTTTTAAATGTCTCTACTCGGGACAGCATTTTCAAATGTATGTATTCTCGATGAACGCGATGGGTGTTTCTAACGTAGTAGTATAAGCGAAAACTCATCAACTGATCATGCGTTTTCAACCTCAAATAAGCGGCAGTTTCCATATAAACGAAGATAAAGTTTTGTCAGATAATTTGCTAGCGTCTAAATTACAGCTTTATCGGTTAAACACCTTTAGAATGTTCGACAACCTGGACAAAGTAATCGACAAATATTCCACAAACTGCTTACTTTTAAAATAAATTTAAGCATATACGATGTTAATTTGTAATGCTCAGGTATTAGACAGAAGTTTCCGTAAACCAAAGTCAATATCGGAGAATTGTTAGCTTACCTTTGTTAAGACGTTTGATGGCTAATGTCAGTGTCTGATTTGTGATGGCGTTTAGACCGATGTCTTCTTCTACATCGATGTTTTCTTATGGTATTGAAAATTTTAGCTATTTACGCTTATTTATACATAGCAAAACACGAAGCCTTAGCCGCTTTGAAAGAGGAAACCTACACAGCTAAAGTGCTTTTCATTGGGTCTTAAAACACACTAATGTAATTACGTTGAAGATGATTCGGAAAACTAAAAATATCCGGTACTTTTTTCCTTTTACGGCTAGACAATTCGTGAAGTTCATCAATTCTTTTGAAACAGTACATTAAGTCGACAGTTAGCAAAGTGTAAAATCAGTTGCGTCAACACAAGTAAAGAAATCATGTTTCTAATTCAGTGAGATATTTGTTAAGCTGATAAAAATAGCCATTTGAACACTTAGCAGTGAGAAATAGCAGTTTCCCTTGCACTTTGCTGAACAAATGGTTTCAAGTTCTTTTTATCTGTTAAAGAATGGAAAACACGAAACTGAATGATATTACCACAAGTATTATAGTGTTCTGGTGGTAATTAGGGCGTGCAGACTTTGAAGATTTGCATCCAAATGGAGCCATGAAAGCAAGCCGGTTAAACGTAAGCGAAGCAAGTTGATGTCACGAGGAAAAGTAATTTCAGTGATAACGTGCGGCGTCTGATGAGCATTCAAGCTGGGATATCTCACTTACAGGAACAACAGTTTGATATACTAGCGAACTGATACAAGATCGAAAAATATAAACATGCCAGAGTTTGCCTTGCTCTGTACTATACCTCTTCACTCTAAAGCGAAAAAATATGCATATTTTTTCCGATTACTGAGTACAAGAATATTAGTAACTTGCAGTAGAAATGAAGCGGCCACCCTTATTAACCGGCCAGCTTTCAAAGTCCCGAAATTATAGTCAGTAAAATACTACAACTAAAACTAACTGGCTACTTCTATTAAACAGCCGCGGTCACCTCGTCCCGATGAGGGTTTTATTATTGTCTTTACCCAAAATTTTCTACACGTAGTTTGGCTTTGCTTTGAAAAAGGCGATGACAAATAAGAGGTCCAGTCTCTTAATATTCTCTAGAAGAGTACATATTTAACGGTACTGAGGAAATGGAGTTTTACTCTCAATAACACAGTAATGAAAAAGCAAATGTTTCGGTCGGCTGCCGTCTTTTTTGTCGCCACCCTTTATCAGGTTTGTCAGCGTTATGACAGGAAAGTCAGTAATGACCTAAATGCATTGACAAGGTAGGTTTTATTTATGCAAACTTTAACTTGCGCTAAATTAAAAAGCATAAGAATAAGAGTTGGCGTATTTTGAGAATAGGCCAGTGTTTTTTTTTTTTTTCAATAAAAGAAACAAAAATTTCGGTATACACTCAAGTTCTCAAGTTGAACTCAGTTTGAATATAGCGTCGGTGTTTTCATGAACCCAGCAGCACGGTTTTTTTGTATCAGATTCATTATTTAAACTGGATATACAAAATCATTCTGCTGCTAAATTAATTGAGTAAAAAAGGATCCAAAGAATATTCTTTGGTCTGCACCTGCCGTTTAATATGACATTCTACGCATGTCCAAGTTTATCTTCGAAACAACATCGTTGTCTATTGTGTTACTGACTATAGTAATTGACCAAGATGGCTTGCGTTAGGTTCTAAGAAGGAATTCACCAGAAATGCGAGTAACAACCTTGACAAAAACTTTGTACCAAGATTATTTACATTGCGTTGCAAACTTCTGTGCAACTGTTTTAAATATCTTCCCTAAAGAAATCATTGCTAACAACACCGAATGTTGAACTTCATACGAAACACTTGAAAGTACTGATAAAATGAAACTGATGATGAAATTTAACCTGTGTTTGTACAATTTCAATAAACTTTAAAATTTATTTTCACGAGTTCTCAGGCAACTATTCGTATCTTAAGCTGCCGGCAAAGAAGACTGTTATATTCTTAAAACTATTCTTGTGCAAGGTTTTGTCCACTAAAACCCGAAAATGCTCGATTCCCCGATTTCCTATCGGATTTCGTCTTCATTCCTATCAACATAATATTGTTGTCTCTGTTCGGAAGCAGATTGTCTTAGTTTTATTATTGGTTTTAACAAAAATGCTGTATTAGATAAAAGAGCAACGCCTGAGCCCGTTGTAACTGCAGTGCTACAAACAAGACCATACGTAGCGGGAGGAATTACTGATGTCCTTTAGTAGAGTCAGTGATGATGCTCAATTTAGCTTTTACTTTCTCCGTCAACCTGGTGTAAGCCCGTAAGTGAACAGCCTTTCTGAGGGTGACGAATAAAATATAAACGCGTATAATCAACTTGACACAAACAGTAGATTTAATAGAGCACCGCGAAAATTAAAGTACATCAGAGATTTTTCACATTTCGTGTTCGCTGACAAATGAAATTGCTCAGTGCAAGAATATCCTGATAATCTTACGCCGGTTTAAAAAAAAATATATTGTTATATGACCTCAATTCCTTTTTTCCTAGATTCTCGCTGTAAAAGGGAGCGATTTTTCTTTTAGAGCAAACCTTTAAAATAATGTTTAAAATAAATAGAAGTTTGATCTATTACTTTAGTATGGGCAAACGTCGATTACTTATTGACTTGAAAGTTTCCAGAACTAACGCTAAAAATAAAGGTTCCCACGATTTTTAGTTTTCTAAACTAGGTTTAATTTGTTTAGGTACGAACTGTTCAGTGCACTCGAGTTCAGGGAATGGCAACAAAACTTTGATACATTGATAATTTCGCTCACCGGGTTGAGTGGACGCTAAAAAAGTTACTGGTGTTGTTCAGCTTTGTGTTCGTCAGAGGCACTTCAAATTTATCTGCATTTATAATAAGAATATATTTTAGGGTCCAAAACGAGAATGATTCTGGCAAAAAATTGACATATAGGTTGTTCTTGTGTTGAACTTGTTTTGCTTTTGCGAGCTTTTCTGGCAATTCGAAGTTATTTGGGCGCGAGGTACCGCAATTGCGAGAACTGTCCGTAAGTGGTAACAAACTTTCGGCCACAAAGAAATTTTGACTGCTTCTCGCTCAAAACTCGATGAGCTCACAATAAATGGTCCATAAGACACAAGTTTCCTTTTTTTTTTACTGTTTGTCAGAAAAGTCAGTTCCAGTCCCAAGGCTGAGTCGAGCGAGTTCTCCAGTAGACTGAAGTCAGTTTTGGGGATTCAACTATTCTTCTTTTACATATCGTTCCGAGCCTCCATTTGCGTTTTGCGAAACAAAATGCTACATAAATTAAAATCTGGTCTTGAAGTGGTGTTTTTTCATGGCTCAGACTATAAATAGAACAGTTTAATAAAAACGCTTTATTCACCGTATGACACTCACAGGAAGTTCATAGATTTGAGTTGAGTAAACACGCAGTGAATAGGAGAATAGTTTTCATTTCCTGAGAGTGCACCACACTTATAACCAGCAAACATCACATACAAATATGAAAAACACTCATTGATAAAATACAATACTCAAATCGGAAACTTTTGCGGTACGCTGAATTCGTACTTGCAACCGTAAAGTTAATTAATTTATGGCTGAAATGCCTTATGAATCCAGATCATTTTTATATGAATTTCCATACGTGTTTTAAGACTCTGATAAACAACGTAAAGCCAATTTGTACTTAATATAACACAAGGGGCATACCTACTTAATTACACAACCCCCCTCCCTTCCCCCCCCCCCCGTTAAAGGCTAGTATTACGTCCAATATCACCGTACATCACAGTTTGTATTACGTTTCGTTTTAATTTTGGCTTACAACAAACATGCAACTTAAGCTTATGAAAAAATTTGTTTCAATTAATGCCCGAACGTACGAAAAAGTCAGAGTAACAGAATTTCAACAAGTATATATCAAAATAAATTGTTAAACAGCTAATAAAACGCTAAATCGAGTCGGCTAACGACAGATTCTTTCTAAAAATGTAAACTAAGGGCAAAATTTGAAATAAGTGCATTAAATGAACATGATTAGCCAGGCTTACAGCATTTCATACAAAACTATATTGGAGATTGACATCAGTTTTCGTTGACGGCAATGTTGCAAATAAACATCAACTCTCAAATGAAATTTCTGATGTAACTTGCTAATTAAGTAAAAAAAATCCGGCTTGAAAAGAGCAATCTAGACTTAAACGATGAATTTTAAAATTAATACGGGTTAATTTATCTTAGTGATAAATTTGTTCTGTTTTACTCGGCAAAATCTGAACTGTTAAGCATTAAACCAGTCACTGAAAGCATATTTAATAAGAGGATAGTAAGAAACAACATTTTTTGGGAAAAGGGAAATTGCACATAACGCCAAGACAAAATTTATTTCCTTCGACAAACAAATAGATCTTGCAGCTGCAGGAGAGAAGAAAGGAAAGGATACACGAATATCGAAAATGATGCTGTTTTAAGGTGACTCAATTGTTTTTTGTGCGTGGACATAAAATTTTAAAAAGAGTTCTTCCGGTGAAAAATATATAAACCTGGGTAAAAGATAAAAATACACACAGACTTATCTGATTTAGATAACATCAACTGCTTGGTTAAACTTGTGAAGGTAAGAAAAACTAACAGTGTACAATTGCAATGAGATATTTGGCCACGTTGTCCTAATATTATTCAAGCTGAATTTAAAGAACGACACTTGTAGTGTTTTCAGGTTCTGGAAATTATCCACGAAAATCCCTTTGAGCGAGAAAAAGACAGAGAAGAGTTTCTGTAGCTAACGAAGCAAGGAAAAATCAATTGAACATCGATGGAGGCTTTGGGCAAGATAACCGTAGCTCTACCGAACGAGAAACGACGCCAGTCGCTAGTTTATTTTGATTATCAAAATGTAAATTCGTCTTGCTCGCCATCGTGCATGAGGTCAACACTTCGTGCTACATACTGTTTTTCTCATCGAGTAACAGTTATACAAGTCAAGCTTTTAGAGCGCTATTTTAAGTGTGTTTCTATTCCATTGATTGATGTTTTCGCAAATAAAATATCTTCTTCATTTCGTTTACAGAAAATCTTCAATAATATTGATGGCTTCCACTAAGACACGGGTTGCACTTCTGGTTATTGTCGCTCTGTATGCATATCTAACAAGTAAAACAGACGCCCATTTACAAATAGGAAGAAAGGAATTCAAACCAGTCAGACAAGAACTTAGAGAATTGCTTCAAGACCAAATGCATCCCGTCTTCAGGAGTAACACGAACAGGCTGAAACCAGGACAAAAATGGGAGTCTACAATTGAAGAAATTCCAGAGTTGTACAAACAGGGAACACTAGAAGACTAGGCAGTCAATCTACTGTTTACAATACATAGGCGAGACACAACTAAGACTCAACAGGTGACCAGTTAACAGACCCACCCCATCCTCCTAGCGTTTTAAAGAGCTATTATGAACCTTTATTTTAGAAAATGGTAAAACATCCCATTACATGTACGATACAACACTAACAATGCAAAGTTTGATTTTATAATTGCACACATAAATAGGTAAACGAAGACAACCTAACTAAATAACAGAAAGTTATATAGGTTTAACTGCTCTCAAGCCAGAGATAATGAGAGTTATAAATGATAAAATTAGAAAACCTTTATATACCCTCGGCCTTTAATCCACATACAGGCCTTATTCCCAAGGTAATCACTTGTACCCAGTCCTTCCGTGGATGTTACCGCCGATATTATGGATATGGATATTTTTCGTGTAAGGTGAAAATGCGTGTGAAATCCGTGTCACGGGCTTGGATTTCCGAAACCGAGATTGATCTAAGGTAAATTTAAAAGAGGTTACCTTGGGAATCAGATTTATATACTCCTCGTGCTCTCCTTGTCTCCAGACTGTGAGTGATTATTGCTTTACACGGTATACAAGTGTCTTTCCTGACTTTGCGTCGTAGAAATGATAATAGCTTGTGAATCCGTGCTTAAAATATATATTTACTTGTTTTGTTCTCTAATGTAAATAATAAAGATTTCATTTTTACCCGTACTACTTGACTAGTGTCTTTTAAAAAATCCAGTCGTCTTAATTTATTTGGATTGACTCATCCAAACCGCCAAAACACTTATTATTTGCCCTCTTTTAGGTTCTCGTTTCCCCTCGCACGTTTCACGCGTGGTCCACCCTCATTTTAAGCAGGATCTCTTTTTCACTCCTGTTATATTTTCTGTGCGTTTTGTTATGCAGATCCACGCACGCGCGTTGACCCGGGGGTGTCCAACCTTTTTGCTCCTCCAGCTCTCTAGACGTTTTGAAGCTTCTTAAAATCTAATACAGTAGAACCTCGATTTAACGAAGTCACTAGGGACCAACCAAATTTGTCCGTTAAATCGAGGGTTCGTTATATCGAAAACCTCGATATAACGAATTTGAGGGGAAACGACCAAAATGTTCTTTATATCGAGGTCATAGTTATGACTGATTTGTAACACAGGTGACTTCTGTCACGCAATTCAATGCAATTTTCGTCATCCAGAAGTGCCGCGTTTTTATGGTGGCTTTCAGTATCAGTTATTTTCACTTTTGAGCAGACGCGCAGCTTTTGTTTACAAAAGAACGACACTTTCAGAGTAGCGATTTAAAAATGTTG